TGAGCCACTTTGATTTGCTCTCTCATTTCCACATTCTTTCAACAAAAAACTGTTTATTTCATTAGTTTTTTCTTCTGCATTTTGTAAAACTTTTTCATGCGATAGACATCAATTTAAATGCGACCGAGTAAAAAATCCACTTTACTCACGCTATCAATGTAATTTACATACTCTTCTCCACCTTTCTCTGTCCCCCTTTCTTTCTCTCCCTTCCCCCGCCGGCAATTGAAATAGCCCATCTCATTGTTTGTCAATTAATTAGGTTGTCACCTTCACAGTGACTGCGTCGCCTAATGCTAATGAGTGAACGAAAGGCGGCAGTGCTGAAGGGTGCAAAAAGTGGGGGCAATGCGGCGACAAGCACGCAAGGCACTTACAAAGTCCGTAGAGAAGAAAGGTTAATAAACGCTTTAAATAATCACGTGTCTTTTTTTTACTAAAGTGATCAGGAATTTTCTCTTACAGACAATGAATATTTTTTATGCAAAGTTAGAAAATTTTCTGCTCCACAAAACTCTTTCTACCTTTATTTCTCACTAAAATAATTAACTGTAATTATGGGGGATTTATGGGGACATCTGGCGTACCTTTTCTTGTCATAAGCCTGTTCCAGTTTTTTATCCCTAAAAAAAATAATTTTCACTTCCCTCCATGTTTTTCACTCACCCTCTCCTGTTGTTATTGTTATTGTTTTTTTCACTTTTCACTTTTCCATTGACATTGTTTTGCGGTTCAGTGACATTTCTTTCATCCATCAAGTTGAGAGGGTGGATTTAGCTTGCGGTTGCCATTTTTGTTTAGCATGGGAAAATTATTATCGAGACTAGGCAGGCTTTAGGGAAATGAATATTCACTTTCGGCAAATAATTAAATGCTATTTTCAGCTGACAAAAACGAAAGCGCTAGAATTTAATCTGTCGAATTGAAGTGTAAAGTTGTATCAGCTTTTTCAGGTAATTTCGAAATGATCGAAAAAATTTATTGAGGTTATTATAGTATTACAATTGCATGCAAATAGAATCTTGCAGATTTTTATTTTCGATTGAAACACATTGTGTCAGGCGGAATGTGAAAGGTTGTGCTCGTTATCGTTGATTTCAAAAACTCTTCTCTAATGGGTTAGAGGTTGAGTAAATAATTAGCCCTAGTCGGTTATATGACTAAGGAAGGAGAAGAGCTACAATTACAGCAATGACGGATATGTTCCACAACTTCGCCGAAGATTTTAAGGTGACATTTCCTCTTCTATGGCGACAATTACAACTGCGGTTCAACCACCGATTGAAGGTACCTGAGACAGCTTTGATTTAAGGCATACCTTAAAAATACGTGGCTTACATCTTGCTTGAAATATTGGATACAAAAAGTGCTCAACAACCGGCAAATGTACTCGAAACAAGAAACAACGTTAACTTCGGTTGCACCAAAACTATAATAATACAAAATATTTCATACCAGAACTTTGATCGGTCAGTTTGCATGGCATCTATCCGATCTGAACAGTTTCTTTGGAGATTGCAAGCACTTAATTCGGACCGTTCAGTTTGTATGGTAGCTATACGATACAGTGCTCCGATATCGACCATTCCGACAAATGAGCAACTTCTTGGTGATAAAACGATTGGTGCAAAATTTGAATTCGATATCTTATAAACTGAGGGACTAGTTCGCATATATGCAGACAGACGGCTAAATCGACTCAATCGACTCAACTCGTCACGCTGATCATTTATGCATATATATTATATTGTCCCTGACGTTTCCTTTTGGGTGTTACAAACATCTTGGCAAACTCAATATACCCTGTTTAGAGTATAAATATCGAAGTCTGTTCTACCGGTCGGAATGGTGTGCTCCCGTTTTCTGGGATTTACAAAGTGTAATCTATATTGCCTACCTGCAGAAGCGCAAAATGGTCGCAGGGCTCTACTATGTCGTTATTAAGTTATTAAGCCGAACTAAGACAAAATTTTTCAAATAACGACTTTCCCTTTGCACCGCAATGTTTTATTTCTCTTTATTTCTAAACCTGAAAAAGCCACTGGTGAACTGGTATTTCTTCTATACTATTTAATTGAGTTTGGTATATAGGTAGATGACCATGCTTAGACCATTTTTACGAAATGAAGCTGGAATGAAACCCACAGTATCAGGTATAGCTCAGTAGATCTCAAAATATTTGTCTTTTTTAAATAGATTCGAGATAAATTTTATGAAAATTGATTTTTAATCTAAAAGTATAAATAATCTCTGAAAAATTCTAAATAAACGTAAGGTATATAACACTATACTCCAAATATTTCTAAGCATTTCCTGCAGCTGTCCCTATTTTTACACAACTATCACCCAGTAAATTGAATTTCCGTTACAGTTTCAAATTAAATTTCTTAATTTTCTGCCAGTTAATTCCACCTTCTTTATATGGCGAACAGCTCCAGAGGTGAGGTAATGGGATTTTTGCTCAAAACACTTCACGGATTTTGCTTCCACAATAGTCCTTTTGTATCCACTTACCTGACTATTTTGTCGCCAGCGAACGTGACAACTAAAATCACAATCTTAACACCACAAGGCATTGCCCTACGCACTGCTTTCCACTTCACCGACGTCACGTGCCATGATGAAACCATCAAACTAGACGGTTGAGATGAATGCAGTCATTGTGTTGTTGTTGCTGAAAAGCCAAAAATCGAAAGGACCAAAATATTGAAATACCAAAGTGTTCCGGAATTTCGTAAATATTTAGTTAAATTTTGAATATAACGAAGTTTTCAGATGTTAGAAAACAAAAGCACCCAAAACAACAACCATACTGGTATTGTAGGTAGGTTAGCAGGTAAGCAATCAAGGTGAGCTATATAAAATGTCAAGTTTATTTACGTCGAAAGTTTTAACGGTGATAATCGCTGTGAACAACAGTCAGTCGAAGTTGACACTTGGGAAAAAAAACACAGAAAATGGTGATTAAGCATATTAAAAAAAGCCAAAGCGAAATTCGTCGGCGAAGCCGGAAGTGGGCAGCCAAATAATTAATGTTGAGTGCGCCGACCTTGAAGAGTTTCTAAAATGAGAAAAGTTAAAACTTTGAAAAAGAGAACTTTAAAAATTTGCATTTGAATTTGGTGTTTACCTGCAGCATTTTTATGGTTGTCCAACACAAATCGTTTAACTTTTAGTCAACGATGCGCGACTTACGAAGTAGGTAGAAAACTTGTATTTATTTACAACGGCAATTACTGAAATTTGGCTTTTACATATACTTCTTGATCTATTACACTCACAATTATGGTATACTGTTTCTACAGATGCATCTTATATCCCGACAACAAATATGAGAATAACCGAACGTCTGGAATTTTGATACCTCATCGAGTTTCTTGAATTGAGGCTATGTTATGCGTTGCATCCAACTCGGTCCCATTCCGATATGAAGCGGGCAAGGGGCACCCTCTGGCTAGCTCATCGTCCTTACAGTTGTCAGCGACTCCGCTGTGACCAGGCAATGAAACGAATTTGATGATGAAGTACATAGCTTCGTACACACCAAGCTCTACTAAGCTGGCTCGTTTAGCCCCGCTTTCTTCTCGTTTGATCAGCATGCTTGCCACCTTAGCGCTAGTTCCTGTACTAGTTCTTGCGATTCCGTCTCATACTTCCGCCCTTACTTTGGTTTCTGTTGGCAGTTTCCTACCGACTCCCCTAAACTCACCGCCTCAGCGACGGTAAGCCATGCCCGGGGAAGCACTCTACAGTCTTTTCGGTGAACGGTTTTTTTCTCTCTAGGTGATGGTCTCTTTTGATAGACCGTCCAATTTTATCACGGTCGGTTCCACCTACTTTCTCTCTTGTATTTATTTAAATTATTGCTTTTGTTATTATTTAGGTCATTCGTTTTTTGGGTCCCTACTCAGAGCCGCTATCCACCTCCCGGAAAAGTAGTCGCCTTATATGGTCTCAAGGTTATCTCAGTTGCGAGGCCAAGACGAGGGTGGACGCACGTCGTTATGTAGCAATACGTTCAGAGCCGACCAGCGCAAAGAAGGAGTCATATCAACTTACACCTACCATATTAATGTAATGGTGAGTGGAGGGGAACGTACTCCGGGGCTTGCCAGGGTTTAACGGGACGCAGGCATTAACCCGCCAGTCATTTCTGCTGGGTGTGACCTCTGAATACTCAGGTTCGAGAATACTACGACCACCAGCCCAGGGCTCTAACCAATCCTAAGAGTCCAAGCCATGTCCGTGTCAAGCCAATGGTCAATCCGTAGTAGTATAAAAGGCCGTGCACGCCGCACGGCATTTAATGCCTGCTTTACATCCCTTATACATATATACCTATAACTTAAATAATGTTTTAGAATTCAGAGCTCTTTGTTAGAAAATAATAGTAGTTAAAGATCTGTCCAGTTTGCAACTAAGAATTAATCAAAATAGCGACAATGAAAAAACATATCTACTGTCAGAATACTGTTGTAATGAGAGAAGGATTAAGGCTTAAGCTCCTTTTAAGTTTAGAATATTTAACAATCTGTCATTCTTTTCACCTTCATAATGAGTCTCAATTATGTTGAATAAAAATTTTCAAAACTTTTTTTAATTTCTTCAGAAATTTTATAATAAGCTCCTAACATTTTTTAAACAAATTTCGATTAGTAATTGTTGTAGCTATATTAAGTTAGTTTAATAGTATAAATTTACATCTTATTTGCTTCAGCTAATTAACCAGAGTCATCGTGATATTAATCAAGCTCAATTGAACTTAAGCATTGTCATATTGTTGATTGTATGTATTAGTATGTATGAAAAGTTTTGGAAAGCTTTGCATTTAGTCCAGTCATTTTTTCCAATAAACATTCAAATTATGCAACAAAAAAATTGATTTTATGCACTGTGATTTCATAAATACTTATATACAGTTATAAATTATAATAGAGTCGCGCAAAAACTATGATGAATGCCACGCTAATTTTACCGCAAATAAATTTTCCTTTCTCTCACCGATAAATACACATTTATTTATTTATTTCAGATAAGGAAATTACAAACTTAATTAATGAGATGAATCTGAATAAACAGATAATTTATATGAAAGCATGTAATTTGGAAATATGTGGCATTGTGGAAAATTCAGTGATAAAATTAAACAAAATTTATAACGGAACAAATATTAATATTTGAAAAAATAATGAGTCGGTAAATGCTGGTGAAATGGTATCATCCCCAACGTATGTTGTATAAATAAACTTAAATTAAAATATATTCGGAAATTATGTTGCCAAACAAAATAACATATCTGTCCTGACTGGAATTATTTTTATAATTCTTACATATTTGCTTATTTTTAATTTCTGTAAATCTTAAAGACTAACGATTTAAGCTAAATCATGTGCGACTTCGCTGATTAGACAATTAAATGACTTTTAATGCTAATTGTAGGCAACATTTTGACTGAGTATCCAGTAAAACATATCATAAATACGAAAAGAGAAATAGAAGAAAAACAATAAAATGGGAATTACCGTGTCGATCAGGGAAACATGGTGAAGCACATTTTATTGCAGCTAGAAATATTTTATAAGTTTTTGCATCCCGGTATTAAAACGTTTTTCTGTTGTTGAATAATGAGAAATGGTCATATCCAAATTTTATATTCGCTCTCCATAACATATCGAATCTAACCTTATTATTGGCCCATAGCTTGGAAAAATGTGAACAAGCTATATGACGATCTTAAAATCTGAAAATTTACACAATTTACTCAAATCAAAATAGGGTAAAAACACAAGTTTGTTAAATAGTATTTTCTATAAACTCACCGCGGTAAAGGTGGGCATTGAAACTGTGGCGAATTTGTATGCTCTCAATTCAGTTGGTATGCGGCAGCGCATAATAAAGAAGAGTATCATTTTTCGGTAAGCCAAATTTCCATCATACCAGTTGCCATAAAAAGCGGCGTTCAAAAGTTTGTCGCTCTAGTGAGAGTAAGAAAATAAAACATTTTCACTTTAGAAGCAATAATTGAAAGAGAGTTAATTCAGAAAACTTTTCAAGTTTGATTAGAAACGATGTAGGTCTCTGTTTGCCCAAATATTAAAGAATAGTTCAATGAAATCTAAAAAAAGAACAATGTTATTGCGTATCGACAAAGCGTCTAGAGACTTTTTTTGAAATAATTTCAATTCTAGCTATTTCAGCCATATTGCTAAAACCAAGAGATCCATGATGTTTAAACCTTAATTTTTCTAAAGCCGGTCAAGTATGAGCCTACCACGCTTCTTTCTAAACCACTTGGAAAATTGGCGTCCTATACAAGTAGAACTGTTACCTCTTGGTATACACGTCCATTGGGCAATGATCTATTTGAATTTTTACAACTCGCGTAAGAGCTTCTTGCTGAGAGAAGATAGTTTAACGGACTGTTTGCGATTTACTCCGGACCAACAACCTTTCCTCAACAGCGTAAGATGAAAGGTCGACCAGGGCTCCTCGAGCTCATTCGAATCCGGACAACCTAGTGATTACGGTAGAACACCGACTCACTTCAAACTTGATATTAAGCTGAGAGTATCATGTATTGTAAGAGCATTTACCGATACAAGGCTTTTTAAGAAGTAGCTCGAAGTTATTAATAATGGGGCTAAGGCCAACCTAACTAACTTTCAACGTACAGTTAGCTTGGTTAAGATAAGTATTGCTTTATCAAGGTCAGTAAAAGCGCAGTCTAAACTAACGAAATGGCAATATAGAACGAACGGCTCAGAAGATCTCTCTTTGTGACTAAATTTAACTAACTTGGTGATAGTCCCCTTCGAATATTGCTATGTTTACTCGACTTTATTTAAAACAGATACATTATACTAGTAGGCCATAAGTTTTGAACTCGGTTTCGATAATAAGGATTTCTTTTTGTTGCCACACTTTGCCTTGATCTGCTCATTTTCTATTTTTTCCTCTTCTGCTATTTAACCTATTTACTTTTTTTCATAATCTCTTTATACTAAGGTATTTCTATTGATCATCCTTCTAAAGTGATTTCTAGTTCTTTGTTGTAGTTAGCTGATTGGCATTACCGACAAAAATCTAACTCTAAAATGTAAGCAATTTTCTATTCTACTTTACTTTATTTTTTGTGGTTAACTGATAATCAATAAAGAACTACGAGGGAGGATTTCTACGTTTCATACTATGATTTTTCCCGATCACCGCATTGTACTCACAGTTTCAGTTAGTTCTTTGCCTGTGTAACATATGAAAAACGTAAATACTATGAATGAAGTCAAACCGATCGAATACTTGCAGGCATGAGCCAAACTGATCATCACCATAGAGAAGCCCATCAAGCAGATCGCTATGGCAGAGGTGCAGAGATTCACCATAAACGATACGTTGAAAATAGCATTAGTCTCCTTTGAGTAACTGCGTATAATGAATAAATTAAGAATAATTGTAGAAACACTTTCACCACACACAAGCTCACCTCAGCAACTGACTGTGGTAGTTTAGTAAATATTTCAACTCTTCGTTAGCATTTGCGCCAGCGGCATCGATTGTCTCCAGGGCATTGGCCAAGTAATCGAAATGTATTTGCAATTGGGTCGTAAAGAAGCAGAGCATAAACTCTGCGGCCATAATGAAGGCGACACCGGTCAGCGATGACTGCACTTGACAAAGATAAGCGACCACAAATGACACAAACGATTTGGCATTACGCTCATTTTGCCAAGGATACCATGTATTTGATTGGTAACGATATTTCCATACGACGCCCGGTGTCCACCACTCATACAAAAACTCGACTATCGGCAAGAAATTGTAATAAGCAAATGCGAACAAGTAAAGTATGGTAGCGAGCCTCATCAGCTTATTGGACTTCAATGCAAAATGCTCAATGCGATGTGGAAATTTCACTGTAGATTTGAATTTAAATCAGAGTAGAAAATTATACAAAAAATTTTATTTCTTTGCCATTCATCAAACACATCTACTTATTATACTCGTAGCCACATACTTACCACCTCTTAGTCGTCGTTTTGTAGATTTCGCTTTTATTTGGACGCGCTCCGTCGGGAATAATTGCTGAAAATTCTCCAAGAGCATCGCTATGCGGTCTCCATACCAAAACATGACGAGCATATTCGATGTTCCGACCAAGGTTAGCCCCATAATGCCACCGGTTTCGGTTACCTGTACGATCGTAGACTGGGCGCTACTCTCGTGTGGCATGAAGAGATAAATGAGCATACCAATATTTTGATAAACCAAATTTATAGCACCGAGAGTGAAGAGCATGCGCCTGAACCAGAGCCTACGATAGCTATACGTGCGTGCTCCACTCCAAGTGAAGGGTTCCGTTGAAGCCAGATCCAAAGTGAAATAAGGATATTTCAAACAGTGCTTTATCGTGAAGATTTCCGACATTTCGTTTTATATTACACGTTTTATTTTCCGGAAAGAAAGGCGCTAGAAATGCTTTCAGCACACATGACAACATGTCAGTAGAATATTCTTTATATACCCCGTTTTGGTTTCGCTTGTTGCTATCTTTACTTTTAGTGAATTAATTGAGTAATTTTCTTATAGAGAAATTCAATTGCGTAGCAAGTCTTTGTTAAGTATTCTCTTTGTTACATCGCATTAGCCTAACTAATGAGGAAATTATTCTGTTCAATTTTCCTTAATATGTTTTTTACTGCTGATTACATATACATACATATGATAATAACTAAGGTAAGGTTATATTCGAGCGCGAAATACTTATACCTTTGCTAGTTTCTTACCTACACTATGTTTTGATCTTTCCTGAAATTTGGAGGATTCTACAAATATTAAGCCTTCTCTTAATGACTTATCTCTTTATGAATCGTTTATTGAGAGAAATAAGCTGGATGATCGCAAAAGATATTTCTATAATTTGATTATACTCTGAATTCCAAACTGTGATCCCACTGCTTAATAATAAGGCTCAACTAGGCTGCCTGGAAGCGCTTACATACGAGGGTATAATCGGTGATAACCTTCGTCAAAATCTTTTCTTACATGTTGATCACATAATCAATCGCTTATTCTGTAGTTCAACTATTTGTCGGAGTTTGTTTCGCTTATTTATCTTTAATTTGTTTTTACCACCCATTTTCGGTTTGAAATCTATAGCATCATTGCTACCTAGTATCATGTATATATATATCTTGAGAATTCAAAAGGTTGCATATATTCTTGATCATTCTAGAAAAAAAAATACAATATAATATAGAAGTATTAACTCGAATAGTCATAAAAGTTTTTGGAGACTTTCTGATCTGAATTTTTAGATCTCCAGGTTGGTCCATATTACCTTCCTTCAAAACGTGAAAGCGATTAAGTTCACATAAAGCTGGTTAAAAACTTTTGAGCCTACTAAATTCTTTAATAGAAGTTTCATCATCATTTATAACTAGGTTGGGTTTTATTCTGCCGTCTATTCTTTAATATTTCTACCTTTACTACCTTTATTAAAAACAAGAAAAGTCGTTTACTTCAGCTGCCGAAGCAATAATACCCTTCACCAATATCCATACACGAGCTTGATTTTGATAGTTAAATTTCTATAGAAGCTATATACTATAGTAATGCGATTTCAAAAATTTCTACGGAGATTATATCGCTTTTTTCTGAGTGTTCCAAACTTCGTGGCAAACTTAATATACCCTGCTCAGGGTATAAAAAACAAAAAAACAATGATCAGAACAATGTTTTTCAAATAACAATAATAAATGTATTTATTTGCTGACACGATGTGAGTATATCTAATATATAAATTGTACCTCTCCTTTCAAAGCAAATAATTTCTTTCCAATATTCCACTACTCAATGGCTCGAAAAGATGTGAAGAGCTGATAAGATAGCTTCAAAATCTATAAATAACTTACTTATTTTGTGTTAAAATATTTTTTCAGCATACGTCTTACCTTCATATAAGTTTCCATTGAAAGTGGCGCATAACCGTAGGCTTGGTATTCGCAAGGTGTTTTGGTGCGCATTATGAAGAAGATAATCAGTCGACGATATTCGTAGGAACCCTCATACCAATTGCTATAGAAAATTGCTGGACTTATCTTCCTGGTCTTCGGTCAAGATAGATGAGATTTAGCGTTGAAAATCAAGTGTTACGTAATGTAAAGAGAGAGGAGTTCGAAAGTAGTCAACACCTGGTAACAAAGACTTAAGAAAACAAATAGGGAAGAGCTAAGTTCGGGTGTAACCGAACATTTCATACTCTTCCGACTTGCAAGGATTAAAGCCGGCTAAATACCTTCAGATGTTCGAAACGGTTTATATAAAAAAATGTAGCGAAAAGGTTCAACTTCATTGTTCGACGAAGTGGTGAATGGATTACATCATCAAATTTGGAATAATATCAACTTATTACGATATGACCTTCACTCACTTAGTATTATTATTATATTTTACTTCGCGACAGCGAAAATTATACTAACCTTATTGGGGACAGAGAAATGGAAGGGCTGATTGCATTAATTTTTGACTTTGCTCAGGTATACTTGAGAAATTATTTTCAAGCCATTTAAAAAATATATTAACATACACATGTATATGGAGTAAACTCAGCCGTAAATTTCAAAATCATGAATATCACTTATATGAGCATTAAGCCAAGTTTTCGCCAAATTTTATCCAATTTAAGCACAAAGATGCACAATTATTGAAAAAACACGATTTCTCAATTTCATTTAAATAATAGCACATTGGCCGATATATATGGAATAAAGTCAACTGAAAGTTCGAAAATCTTTATAGTAGGTATATGGGGGTTAAGGGAAGTATTGATCCGACTCAACCCATTTTAAACACAATGGTATATTATTGTCGAAAAAACATTTTCCCCGAATTTCATTAATAGAAGTATATCTCACAAATTGACAATATTTTCGGCAAAAAGCCAGACATAGATTCTGGGGTCCACATATCTGGTATCTGGGGGCTTGAATAGTTATGGTCCGATTTTGACAATTTTCAGACCTGAGATGGCATACCTTAAAAGAAATATTCGTGCAAATTTGTATCCCGTTATAATAATTGTTTTGTATACTGGCAAGTGTAAAAATCAGTTGGATATTAAAGTTGTGTTATATGGGAAGTAAGCGTGGCACCTGTCCGTGTTCGCCCATTTTTGCACTTTTACATAGGAATGTCAATGTAATCTTATGTAATGTGGGCGGTGCAGAGCCCATTGACCAATTTTGACCATTGCTCTTAGAAGCCCTCTTGTGCCACCCTGGATGTAAAATTTAGTGTTTCTAACGGAGCCGTTATATAGGGAGTGGGCGAGGTTATCATCCAATTTCACCTATTTTCAAGCTCGTAAGAAGTTTCGAAATGATATGTCCTGTTAAAAATTGGGTGATATAACTTTATCGGTTTGGAAGATATAGTCAATTAACTTATTATTACTATTCAAAAATGGTGAAATTACTTGCGCCCGTCCTTAATATGATTTGTTGTGCCAAATGTGAATTCTGTATCTTAATTTACGGTTTAGTTATTGCACTTTATACGTTTTCGATTAATGGCGATTTGTGGGCGTGGCCATTTGCTGATTATGCCCATCTACGAACTCGTTCTTACTTTTTTGCTAGGGAACATGCGTACGAAGTTTCATCAAGATATCTTAATATTTATTGAAGTTATCGCTTGCACAGACCGACGGACGGATCGACGGACGGACAGACGGACAGTCACTTGGAATTCAACTCGTCTCACTATCCTGATTATTTATATATATATAACCTTATATCAAACCCAATTATTTTTAGGTGATAAAAAACCTTTAGGAGAACAAAACTGTTATACTCTGTATCAACAAGTTGCGAGAATATAAATATGAATTTTTTACAGAACTAAAAACACCTCTCTGTATAAGGAACAAATATTTGTCAGGGAGGTAGGTAATAAATGTAAACTCCCAAAAAGGGGTTTAGTAGAAAAATATTATTTTATATTACACTTACCTCTCTTAATAGTTCATCGCCATTGTTACAAAATATATAACCGAGAATTAAGAAGAAGGAGAAGCCTGCAGAAAACATCAGTGCACTAGTAAAGTTGACCAACACCATAGTCAAACCCATTAAAGAAATCGCAAATGTGGTTATTATAAGGTCAAGGGTGAAGGTCAAATTGAATATGGAGTTAATGAGCGCAGAGAGCCTAAAATTACATAAAAATAAGCTTCCTTAACTTGAGCACATTTTATGAAATATACACCACAGGGCTTACCGCAGCAAGTGATTGTGATAGCTGATGAGGGCTTTCAATTGTAGAAGCGCATCCGGCGCACTGGCGTCCAACGAATTAAAGGCACTGGACAGGTAATTGAAGTGCATAAGCATTTGCGTGGTGAAGAAACAAAAGAGAAATTCACCACTTATAATGAAAGCAACGCTGACATATTCCGCTGACGCCTGGGTCAGAAAAGAGACCATGAAACCGATGAACGAGGAATGATTATTGTGGTTGTGCCATGGATACCAGGCATTCGCTTGAGCTTTGTACGTAATCTTCTCCTGATGTGTCATGATTGCAAAGCACAACTGCAGAATCGGTATGGCGTTGTAGGCGCAGTAAGCGAACTTAAAGAAATGCGTCAGACGTCGCATATTAGCGCGTGACTTTTCTTCATAATAACCAAGGCGATAGATGCTACCGGCTGGACCAATTGAAGTATATTGAAGAAAGATTAAATTTTGGTAAAGAAATCGCATATGTAGATGCTGGTGATAATTTGAAGGCATATTCAAGAAGAATTGAAGTTGAGACATGGGTGCAATGGGATATGGTTCTATGCTGGTTACACAATTGCGAATGCGAGAATGAACCCATGTGGGTCCTTCTGAATTGAAATACAGGTAGATTTAGTTTAGTCACTTTGACAAGCAACCACGGCAAATAGTTTAAGGTTCTATATTTGACTGCATGCACCTAAAATATCGCGGTCCATTGATTTATCTGCAAAACATATGCCACATTTAATTGTTATGAATGGCGTCGAGTTTATAATCCTTCGCCGAATATAAATCCGAGTCCATTCCGATTACGTACACCCGACTTTTGCACTGAATACACCTCTGTCCTTGCTGGTTGCCGTCTTTTGAAGGGTTTCCGGATTTGTAGTGGGAGAGAAACTACGCCTACTAATTCAAAAAAATAAAATAAAATAAAATAAAATGGAATAGTCTACGGTTGTAGCTTTAATAAAAGTGAAGATGAAGTGGTAGGTGTCAGTTTTTTTTTGATAAATACTCGAGCAACATTCTAAAATTACAAGCAATTCATAACGACTTACAACCCAGCTGATCCTTTTTAGACTCATTCAATTCTGCAAGTCTCCTTTGTTTGGCTACACTCGGAAATATGTCCTTGAGTTCTTTCAGTAATCTAGCAATATCATGGCGACGATAAAGGAGGTTCCACACCTTGTAAATGCCACAACTATAGTAGGAAATTGTAGCAAGTGCCTCGAACACTTTCGAATCGCTGCTCGAATACAATTCAGCCTCCGGTGTTGCACGTGGCACAAACACGCCAGCAACAAGTGCGGAAACGTGCACAATCAAAATTATTGTGCTAAATATGAAGATCAGTTGCTTTATGCGATACCAAAGAGCGGACTCATGGCGGTGCTCGTTGTCACACCAAATAAATGATTCGAAGCAAACTAGCTTGAAAGCGAATTGTGGATATTCCAAGAACGTTTTCAGATTGTAAGTACGCAAGGACATTGTAAATTGTTCGGAGATCTCGATTTGTTATTTTTTATTTAATTTTTGTTTTTTGTTTTTGTTTCTTGAATGCCAGCAAATTTATTTGCAATTTTTTTAAAACAAAGGGCTGAAAAATGTCTTTGACTCTTGATGAATTCACTTCACTAAGCACTTTTATGAAATTGCTTTCAAAAGTTTTAATTTTCCTCTTGCCAGCTAACCAATTGTGCAACGACAAAGGCGAAAATTTTAAATATTTTGCCGAGCTTGCAATTCCTTTTATATGGAAAGTCTATTGTTTGCCCTCAAAGCTGGAATGTGCGCTTTTATTTTGTCACAGTGTGTGTTGTGCGGCATGTTGCAGGAAAAGTTTGCGGTTTTTGTTGCATTGATTTAATTTGTAATATTTTAATTGCAATTCTGGTGCTCGCAAAAGGGGCGGCAAAGTGTGTAGCGTTGGGTCATATTTATTTTGCCTTATCCTTGCTAAGCAATTTTTGTGGTTTTTATAATTGCTTAACGACTTCCAACTGCTCAGTAAATTAGTCAACGCTGATTGCTTGTTAATAATTTGTATTTTGTAATTGCTTTTAGTGTTCTTATATAATTTGAAGCTGAGGGTAGAAACTGAAAATGTATACGGTTTACTCCCTGATCCCGCAAATATTAAGAACAAGGTCTTGAATTCGAGACGGTTCTATAGTCTTTCATTGGTTTTTTGTTTTCACATGGTAGGCCCTACTACAACCCAAATTAAATGTCCAGGGGATTAGGTAGCGCTACACACATGACGACCTTCCTACCGAGTGGATGTTGAAATTTGTTGGCGCTATCTAGGGGCGCCAGCGCGGATGCTATATGAGAATTTGGCTTAAGCAAAGGCTGGTGCTGGTGCTACCGAAATTGATCGGACGCTTTACCTTGCATGCTAGCTCCCAAAACAAAGTAAGCTTAGAGCGGCCCCAACAATCATCACCATGAATTTATCGGAAAGTGACAAGATTAGTAATATTCTAGAACAAAAGAACCAGAAACTTGATTCATACAATTCTACACTAAACTATAAAAGAGCTCGGCGCAACCTACAGTATATTTTCATGAAGTAGCAACCGAAACGTTTTTGGCAGAAGGTTATATGAAGAGGCCTAACACTTTGCAAGCCCGACACACATAGGGCGTTAGCATCAATAATCTTCTCAAAATGACGGGGGTTCTTTAAATATGCGAATTTATTCCCCGGGTTTCAAGGTAAAAGGAAAGAATAATTTTGGTGTTTGCTGCTTCAGACGACTGTCAAAAATCCATAAGCTAGTTCAATGAAATGAGAAAACATCAAAATTTTGATATGCAACGATGATAAAAAACGACAGACAGAATCAATAGTGTCTCCAATTATTGAACTACGAATAATACCCAAATCCACCTGGCACAGTTAAAGTTCAAACTACACACACACCTAGTGTAACAGCCCAAAAAAGCTTAGTTAAAATATCCTTCACAATTACATTTTATTGCATACATCCCCTACCGCGTTGCTACGCCACCAACTAAAATAAATGTGAAAGAAAGACAATACACAAATATTCAATTTATTTTGAGTCATTTTATTGATTTTGTTCATCTTTCGCAAACGGTCGTACCAACGCAGAAACTTTTTTCAGCTCATGCACAACAGTTTTGCTAAAGATCATCACACGGTCAAATGCAGTTTACGATTCAATAAAAGACATACAGACAAACATTGATTTGTATACTCTTGCAATATCTTATTACAGAGTATAACAGCTTTTTTTACCTCACGGTTGTTTGTATCACTCAAAAGTAATCGAGATAGATATGGAGTTATACACTTATAAATGATCAGGATGACAAGACGAATTGAATTCCAAGTGACTGTCTGTCTGTCCGTTCACCCGTCTGTCTATTTGTGCAAGCTGTAAATTAAGTAAAAAAGTAAAGAAAAGATATAAGATTCGTATGTAATTGATAAATAAAGAGGGGCACCTGAGGTTGGAAAATTTTTAAGGAGGGGATGTGGCCCCTCCTCCTAAAAGATTTATTGTATATATATCCCAAACCATTTAAGCTAGAATACCCTTCCACAGGACAAATCATTTTGACATCTCTTGCGACAGCGTTAAAATAGGTAAAACCGGCACCTCCCCACATAACGGTTTTTTTAAAACCACTAAAAGTGCGAAAAATAAATAACTAAATGTGTCAGAGACATTAAATTTTACAGCCTGGATGAGAATGAAATGACATATCTCCGGACCTACTGGAACAATTTTAATTAATTTTATTTAGTACATAAGATTATTTTGATTCCCATGTTACAGTGCGAAAATGAGCGAAATCGGAATACAGCCACGCTTACTTCCCATATAATACTATTCTAAATTCCATCTGATTCTTTCCACTTTATGACCTAAAATTTTCGAAATCGGACTAAAAACTAAGCATGTTAATAGTATGTGCCATGTTAATTGTATGTGGTATTGCCAGATATAGATAACATTCCTTTGACCCCATATACTCAATATAAAATTTTCAAACTTCCGGTTGACCTAATACCATATATGCTAATTACACCAGCTCCCATATAATACATATTATTATGATTTTCGTTTTCCTAAGTAGCCTAGACGAAAATGTCGTTCAATGTGTGAGTTATATATTTAAAAAATTGCTTGAAAATATGTTCTTAAATATATCTGAGCAATGTCCGAATTTTCATCTCTTTATTTGCTCCAATATAGCATATATGAGGTGTGTTTAAAGGAAAAGTTAAATTTTTTCGATTAGTAGTTTGTTTTTGACAACAGCAAAGGTTAGTCTCATTTATGTGCTCTTTGATATTTGAATTTTGAAAGAAATGTTGACTGTGGCATTTAGTGAGTCAACTGTATCTCAAAAAGTGTTTACAAGTGGTACAAACACTTTACATATGAGAAGAGAAGATGCTGATTAAGGTGAGCGTCTTGGAAGTGTGGCCACAAGCGGAGAAAACATCGAAACAGTGAAGAACAAAGAATCACCATTAAAGAAGTTGCAGAGGATGTTGGCATATATATCGGCTCATGCCATTCAATTTTCTCGAAAGTCATAACTGCTCCCTGCGACTTTTTCCTATACCAAAAACTGAAGAAACCAATGAAAGAAGAGCGTTTTGCCACAATTGATGAAATCAAATCAGGATCGAAGTAAAAGCTAATGGCCATATCGAAAAGCGCGATTCAGAAGTGCTTCGAGGATTGGAAAAAGCATTGTCACAAGTGTATTATATCATGGGGATTACCTTGAAGGGGACCAAATAGATATTGATAATAAATAAATACTTTCCAAAAAAATTCAAAATTTACATTTTTCATTGAACACACCTCGTACATGCGTTTGTGGTAATTGTATGGAGGACTAAGTATATACGGTAGAGAATATGCAGAAAATTTGATCGTGATCGGGTTGTTTGTCTCTAAGTAAGTACCGGTGCAAATTCGAGAAAAATGCGTTTACATAAAAGTAATCCAAAAACTATTTGAGATATCGGTTGCATATTATTTTGGGATGTTGAACCTATTTAAATATGAAAATTAGAGAGTTTCTCATTGTAAATTTTTTGCTCAACCTACAGAGGTATCCATACATGAAACATTATATAAATCATATAACATGGAATGTCCGTGTAATGCTGGAAGAGCTTGAAAATGTAAAATAAAATTTTATCCATACGAAGTACGATCCACTTGCTAGTAATTATCTAATGTCCAAGCCCCAATTATTTACTACTCTTCCCTAATATGAACCCGCTCAAATTGATTTCTCAATAGATGCCTATAAAGTTATATAATATTTGTTCTATGGGGGTTACTGGTGAAGTTCGCCGGTAATAATTAGCAACTTTACGAGTTTAGTTATGAAGGATATGTCCACAATAACTCTGAAGGAGAAAGTACAATTACGTTTAAAATTGCATAGAAAATTTTGTGAAAGACCTAAGCTCTTACCCCAAGGCATTTATTATGAAATATTATTATAAAAAACTTATTTAAGGGTCGTCTTCAGTTTAAATGTTTATAATTAATACGCACTAAATTACAAATTTATTATTTTATATGAGAATTTTACTGGATTAACCGTCGACTGCAGCTGCGCTTATTGATAGCTGCATATTGGAAAAAAAACGAGTTATTTATTTAGAAAATAATATAGGTCATATATGGGTATGTATGTTTAAGAATGTGTATCAGAGTCTTATTTTAAGCACACAATTTTGATTTAATTGCGAACACATACAAATTATTTGCACTAGGGTGATACTAAAATTAAAGCAGAGTTATCCCACTTTGAACTTTGTAAACTTCCGGATTTATAATAATAACGCATTGGCATAGGACCGTCCACCTTCGCTCTTATACTATATACTCGTATGTATATTTATATTTACTTGACGTGGAAGGTCTTCGAAACAAAATATGATTATACTAGTAGAAATTTCGAGCAGAAAATGATGGTGACAAATTAAGTGGAATTGTTATTTCATAGGTTCTACGCATTCATCGACCAATATTATTTAACAATTTATTTTCAAAAACACTCACTGATGATATTTTTTTATTGACTGTTAAAATTGACCAAGTCCGATATGCTACGTTAAAAAGTGTAATGGTAATAATTCGATTCTAGTGTCACCTAGCGCACAATTTTTTACAAGTATTGTTACTTTCCTTGTACAAATGTATAATTAGAATATGAGTTAAATCAACTATAAACATGATTTTTATAAATAATTGGATTTTTGCGCTATCTATCGGAATTTAAAAAAACAAATAAGTAGGGGCTAAGTTTGTATAACTGAACATTTTAGAAACTGAATGGATCACCATCAAATTAGCTATGATACCAACTCACGTATATGGTACGTCGTAGACTCACTTAGTTTCATTACTACATTTGTGTTCGAAATATTAATATTCAGTTCAACCTTCAACAATTAACTCAAATTTAATATGTGGCAGAAT